GTGGCCGGTTGGGATGGGACAGGGACGAGTGTCTCCATGTCCCTTGTGCCTCTGTCTCCCCCCAGGCAGGAGTGGGCAGGCAGTGGGGGTCTCCAACTGCTCCCACCCTTGGGTGGGCAGTGGGAAAATCTCCCCCTCAGCTGCTCTGTGCCGCACGGGACAGGGACACCACTCCGGGGATACGGCCAGGGGACATCCGTGGGGACATGGGACCCCCCAAAACATCCCATCACCTGCGTGCTGGGGGTCCCCCCCAACCCCCATCCGCAGCCCCTGAGATGCCAGAGGTGGGGAGCTGTGCCCTCACCCAGGCTGTGCCCGCCTGCCCCGGCTCTTCCCTGGCCCTCAGTGATTTTCCCCACAGATAATTCCATGAAACGCCAAATTTTCCCCTCCGGGGGGAAGTGGGGGATCAGCCCCCCAGGGGACCGCCTGGCACCGGTGCTGCACATTCCGTACAGGGGCCTGGGAGGTCAAGGGCATCTCTCTGGATCCCGCTGAGGGGGCACAACCAAGGGGTCCCCTTGAAGGGGGACAGCAGGGTCACCGGGAGCCGGAGAGGTGGCTCGTCCCCTCCCGGGACGTCCTGGGGCAGTGGCCATGGAAGCCGCCCCTGAGCAGGAACGAGGAAGGGGGAGCTGGGAACTGGCTCCGTCCCCCGGATCTCCCGGTGCTCCAACGGCTGCGGGTGGCCCCGGGCCAGCAGCCACCGCTCCAGCAAAATATTTACCCGAGTGGCACCGAGCCATGGACCAGCCTCCCGCCCGCCCGGCACCACGCGGCACAGCTCGGCAAAACACGGCAAAGCTCGGCTCTGCCTGGCGAAGCTCGGCTCTGGGTGGCAAATCTTGGCTCTGGGGGGCAAATCTTGGCTCTGGGGGGCAAATCTCGGCTCTGAGTGGCAAATCTCAGCGCTGGGTGACAAAGCCCAGCTCCAGGTGAGAAATCTCAGCTCTGGGTGACAAATCTCGGCTCTGTGTGACAAAGCCCAGCTCTGGGTGATAAAACCTGGCTCTGGGTGACAAACTTGTGCCCGTGGCACAGCGCAGTGCCCGCCTGGGGACGTCCCAGGGCCGGGCACCAGCACAGTCCAATGTCCCCACGGAGGCCAAGGCCTGGGGACAAGGGGAGGGGTCCCTTGGTCACCCCCTGCCCAAGTTGGCCCCATGCCAGGCTCTGAGCATCACCCCCATCCCGGGACCCGGGTCGTTATGGCAACAGGTTCCCCGGGCTCCATCCCGCTGCCGTTCCCGCTTCTCCCACCCACGAGGACGCCGTGTGAGGGGGTGGCCGGGCCCCCTCCCCTCCCCTCCCCTCCCCTCCCTGCGCTGCGGCAGCGCCGGCACCCGCAGCCCCCCGGGATCGGCACGCGCCGCCCGCGCCCGCGCCCACGCACGGAGCACCCGCGGGTGGCACCTGCAGCGTGGCACGGGGGGGGCCACACCGGGCCCGGAGCGCGGGAGGGGGGGTGGGCACCTTCCAGGCACACGTGTGGCACACGCGGCCCCTGCTCCTCGCCGGGACGGCCCCACAAAGGGACCGTGGGCACCACCCGTGCCGTGCCCGTGCCGTGCCAGTCCCCGTGCCCGTGCCGTGGAGCTGTGGGGGCTGCAGCTCCCTGTGCAGCAGCGAATCCTCCCGCAGAGAAGAGTAAAAATAGCAGCAGGTTGAGGGAAGAAGCTCTCGCCCCCTGCCAGCGGGCACCGGAGAGGAGCCACAGCCACACGGGGACGGCCACGGCATGGTGGCACCGGGGACAGGGGGCTGCGGGGACAGGGGGACACGGGGGGCAGAGGGTTGTGGGGATGGGGAACTGTGGGGTCAGCGTGACACCGGGACAGGCAGCTGTGGGGATGGGGTGTGGTGGGGACAGGGGGACATGGAGATGGGGTCACGGGGTCATGGGGACAAGAAGGGGACAGAGTTGGGGCCGGAGCGTCGTGGGGATGGGGCACACCAGGCATGGAGCACTGGGGGGACAGGGAAGCAGTGGGGGCAGTGGGGTCAGGGTGCCCTGGGGATGGAGCAGTGTGGGGACAGGGTGTGCTGGGGATGGAGTGTGTCGGGGACAAGGCCCCAGTGGGGCTGTAGGGCCTTGGGGATGGAGCACTGCGGGGACAGGGCGTGCTGGGGACAGAGCGTTGGGGTCACGGGGGGCACCAGGGACAGAGGGTTGTGGGGACAGGGCGTCGTGGGGACAGGGTGGGGATGGGGTGCCGTGGGGACAGGGCCCTGCGGGGACAGAGCATCCTGGGGACAGGCACAGCCGGACCAGCGCCCGGTCCAAGGGTGAGTGTCGGGGGGCGGGGCCTATTGGTGAGGGGCGGGGCCAGAGGGTGGGCGGGGCTCTATCGGGGCCGTCGGGGGGGCTCCAAGACCCCCCCAGTCCCCCCCACACCGGTACCCCGCTCCGGATCCCCTGCCCGGCCCTGCGGGGTATCTCCCACCCAGTCCCTGTGTGTCCCCCCTCCGGCTCCCCTCGGGCTGAGCCCCCCGAGACCCCCCGCACCCCAAGACCGTGGGCGCCCCCCCCCCAACCCCGGAGCTGCAGCGGGGGCGGCGGGTGGGGGCCGGTGCTCCCCCCGGGGCGCAGGGGAGGAGCCGGGAGTGGGAACACGCGTGGGAAGCAGAGCACGCGTGGGAACCCGAGGGGGCGGCAGGCGCGGGTTGGGGGGGCTTAACCCCTTCGCTGCCGGGACCCCTTTCAGCCACAATCCTGGGGGGCTGCAGAGGAGAAGGGGGGCCTGTGGGGGGACCCTCCCCAAATGGGGCTCCACGGGGTGGGGGGGGCTGGGGAGGGGGCACCCCCCACCCCAGGGCTGTGCCTGGTGCTGGTGCCCCCCGTGCCCTCACCATCCCCGTGTGCCCACGGCGACAGATGTCCCTCCCGACGCTGGCATGGCCGGGCTGGCACGGCCACCCAGGGCTGGCACGGCCGCCTGGGCCGGGCAGCGGCTCAAGGGCTTTGGCACGGGGTGGCCCGAGCGGAGCCGCGGCTGGAGAGGACCCGGCTGGCAACCACCAGACACCGGCCACTGGCCCACGCCAAGCCTCACACCCACGGCACGGGGTGGGATGGGGTGCTGGGGGCACTGGGGGCTCTTGAGGCAACACCCCCGGGGTGGGCACCCGCCTGGGCAAGGGCTGGGATGGTTTAGGAGGGTCTGTGCACAGGGGTCGGCCTGACCCAGAAGGGGCTTAAAGGGGAAAACCTTGGAGGGGGGAAAACTTTAGGGGGGGGAATATTGGGATGGATATGGGGGGAGACAAGTCCAGAGGGTCCAAGGAGGGAGGGGGCACAGCACTGGGACTGGAAGGGGTCTTCTCTGCCTGGGGGACTGCATGGGCCGTGCCTCAGTTTACCCACCTGTAACATGTGCACTCCACAGCTCAAAGACCCCCCCCCCCTTCCCTGCAGAGTTGAGACACCAAAAACCATTCTGGTGCTCCCACAGCACCCTACCAAGGTGGTCTGGGGGGGGGGTCCTAGCCCTGCTCCCCCCACCCCATCGCTGACCCCCCCGGGGGGGCCGGGCCGGCAGCACAGACCAGTTTGCTGCCTCCATTCCCAGAAGAAAGAATAAAGTTAAAACATCTGTTAATTTATAAACCAATTTAACCATGACTGGTTAATAAATAGCTTCCAGCTGGCACCCCCAACCCATGCCGGGCGAGGGGGATGGGGGGGGGGGGGGCACAGCCGGGCTCGCTGCTCTCCCACAGCCCCCCCGGGGTCATTGTCACTTGTCCCCGTGGGGGTGTCCCCGGGGTCTCCAGGGATTCACCAGGAGAGCCCCGTGCCCGCAGGGTGGGGAGGGGCACGACCACAGTGCCTGGCACAGGGGGGTCTCGGGGGGATGTAGGGGCTGGGATGGTGCCCAAGGTGGGGGGCTCTGGTCATGCAGGGGGGGGTGTGGGGATGTGGGGACACGGAGACCTGGGAGTGGGGGCTGCCCTGCTGTGGGGGGTGTTTGGGGTGGGGAGGTGGGAGGGCTGGGTGGAGAGGTGTGTGTGTGTGTTCATGTGTGTGCATGAGGGTGCCAGGGTGTGCTCGTGTGTGCATCTGTGTGGATTTACACGCGTGTACACGCGTGTGTTGTGTGTGTCCCACCCCAGCAGGTGGGCCAAGCAGGGCCCCCTTATCTCTCCTGGGGGTACCTGACCATGCCCACAGACCCAGGGGCTGCTGACGTGTGCCCGGCCCTGTGGGGCACCACCCTTGCTGCTCAGGGATCCGGGATGGATATGGTGGAGAAGGGCCTGCCCCTGGCACCGGGGGGTCCCCACCCCTGCCCCCCACCCCGCTCCGGAGGCCGAGGGTGGTGGATCTGGGGCAGGAGTCCCTTCCCGGCCGCGGCGCCCGACACGTGTCGCAATAGTAATGTAATTTGTCCGTTAACAATGGGCAGCTTGAGGTTTATATTTAATTACACCGATCGCACCAACCTGAACTCACCCTTATTCATCAATAATGCATGGGTTTGTGTTTATCGCTGCTTAATTAATCTGTGCTTACGACAATTAAAGGCTCGCAAAATCCCCCAAGGTGGCAGCGGGGAGCGGCTGCTGCGCCGGGCTGGCGCGAGCGCGGTGCCGGCGCCGTGCTGCTGGTGGTGGTGGTGGTGCTGCTGCTGGCACGCTCACGGTGCCGGCTTGGCGGTGGCGGTGCCGGCGTGGTCACCGCCGTGCCGGAGCGACGGCAAGGCCAGAGCGCGGTGCTGTGTGGTGGCATCTGGCGACGGTGCCATCGTGGGCGCTGTGCCGGTGTGGTCACGGTCAGGATGGTGCCACCAAGGTCGCGGTGGTGCCACCACGGTCACGATGCCGGCGTGGTCACAGCGCCGGCGTGGTGGTGGTGCTGGTGCAGTGGCAGAGCTGGCACTGTCACCGCGCCAGGGTCAGAGCCGGAGCAGCCACCAAACAGGGTGACCCCCTGTGTGTGCCCCCACCCTCAAGCACAAGGAGGGGGGCAAAGGAAGACCCTCCCCCCCACACACACACACCAGGGTGGAGCAGAGAGGACCCCCCACCCTCTCTCCCTGCAAGGAAACCACCGATGCCACCACATCCATCGTGCCCATCCCTGTGCCCCCAAACCGCCTCCTCCCCGGCACCTTATCCCCCATTTCCCCCTTTCCCCACGCCCTGGCCCCCCTCGCCGGTGCCCCCCAGACCGTGCCAGGCCAGCTCTGTGCCTTTAAGCGCGTTGCCGCGGCTGTCCCGGATCAGCCGGAGCGCCTATTAAATTTTTATGCGAAGTGTAAATGGGCCAGGTCTCCAGCTTCCCGCTCCCTCCGAATGATTTATTACTCGCAAATACCACAGAACTAATTAGTATAGTAATTAATTAATACGAATTTGCATATTTGCATGTGCAATTAGTGCAGTGGAGTGATTACTCTGAAAATGAGAAGTTGGGCCTGTCAGATGGGAGTGTGAACTGGAGTGGAAAAGCCTCGTGAAAATGATCCCGGGCGGCGGCGGCAGCGGCGGCGGCACCGGGCACGCGGCGGCACCGGGCACGGGGCGGCACCGGCGGGCCCTCCCCGTGGGTGTGGGTGTGGGTGTGGGTGTGAGGGGGCGATCAGACCCCCGGGTCACCCCCTTTATCCCCCATCCCATCCCAGCCCCGGTCCCCACGCCATGGGGACCGCTCCATCCCTCGGCCATCTCCATGGCGACTCGCTGTGCCAGGCGCATCGCCATGGCAACGGGCCGGGCCACGCAGCCTCGCCATGGCGACTGTCGTCATCGCGCTCTGTCGCCATGGAGACTCCCCCCCCGCCCCCCCCATCTCCCCGAAATCCGCTCCCTGCCGGGCCCCCCCCCACCCCGGGGTTGGGATGGGGGTGCTCCTCCTCAGGGTGGGGGCCCCCAAGGCACCCACGGGGCGGGGTGGGGGTCCCTGATGTCCCCAGGGATTGGAGCACCCTGGGATGGGGGTGAGCACCCCAGGGTGCCCCATGCTGGGGGTCTCCAGTCCCCGGGGGCTGGTGGGAACAGCCCAGCCCTGTGATGGCAGCACCTGGCTGGACTCGCTCCCAAGGGACGTTGACCCGAGACCCCCCAGGACGGGGGTCTGGCACCCACAGATCTGAGTGCAGCCCTTTGCCTTTGTCCCTGGTGCCACCCTGGTGCCTCCTCACTGTGCCCACCTGCCTGGCTGAGGCCTGATGCACTCGGTGCATTTCTAGGAGGGCCACAAACCACCTGTCCCCTGGTTTGGGGGCACAGATGAGCAGGGTGGGGGGCGATGGAGGGGGGCATGGCTGCAGGCAGCCCCTGCCACCCTCATACACTGTGTCCCCCCTCACCTCCTGCACACCCCCAGCCCCCTGAAACGTTCCCAAACGCTGCCATCTGCCATGGGGGGGCCGGGGGGCGCTGCCAGCAGCGCTCCTTGAGCCGTGCCCGCACCGGTGCCACCACTGGTGTGTCCCCCCCGACCTTCCAGGGCAGCCATGGGAGGGCTGCTGTGCCCACAGTCGGTCTCCAGGGTGTGGCTGTGATGTCACAGTGACATCACAGTCCAGTTGTGATGTCATAGACCTTTGTGACGTCACCAGGGCGGCCTTGTTCCCTCACCAGCAGCACAACGGCACCTCCCTCCAGCCCAGGGTCAAGGGTTGGGGTCACAAAGAGGGTCCCAAAGAGCATCTGAGCCCAGCAGGGGCAAACCCAGCGACCCCTGGGTGACAAAGAAGCACAGAGTGGGGGAGACAAGTTCCCTGTGCCACCCGTGCCCCCACCCTGGGACCCTCTGCCCCAACCCCACACAGCTCCAGTGGTTTCCCACTGGACAATTCCCAGGGCGTCGTTTGCCCAATTAACAACGTGTGGCTCAAAAAGCACTTGGCAAGTCCCTGACCTGTGCGTGACAGTGGGGGACAGGTGGGGGGGCAGGGAGGGGACACAGACAGGGGTGTTGAATGCCCCAGGGCAGGATCCAGCCAGGACCAAAGCCCCAGGGCTGGCACAGTGTCGCCCCATCCTCCTCTTCACTAAACCCCTCCCAGTCCCAGCTGAGTCAGGGCCCTCCCTTTTCTCCCTCCATGCCTTCGTTTCCCTCCTCCATCAGCTTCCTCTTGCCAGACTCCCCAACCCACCCATGACCCCGCAGGGACCTTTAGGGACATTTAGGGACAGGCAGGGCACCCACCCCCCCTCCCCATCCCCCTGAGCCCCCCACCCACAGCCCTGGGTGACTGTCACTCACCCCATGAGGGGAAGATGCCCGGGGATGGGTCCCACGAGGGAGCAGCTGCCCCAGGGACCTGGCCT